CCCAAGGGATGTCGATGGTCAAAAAAGCAGGCTCCTCAGGGACCAGCCAATGTTTGTAAACCTTCAGATTTCAAATGCACTTCAAGTGAGTTTAAATTAGTTTAACTATAACTTTAAAGTACTGTAAATTAAAAACTTGTCCAGTTAGTTGAACAGTTTTTTGAATACATATGGATAGGCTAGCAAAACAGTAGACCAAGAAGGAAATACTAGGTTATTGTAACATAGAAAATCATATTAGTCAATGAAATGATTTTAAATATTACTAAATTTATTAGTGATGAGATCAGTGAGTTACTACACAGTTCTGTAATGGTGTTCTGCCAGAAAAGTTAAAATTAAAAAGTAAAAAGGCAGTGACTTAAAATGTGGATGGTTCCTCTAAAGAGGTGTCCACCTACAGTCTACTGTATGTATATTCGCCCATAAAAGCAAATTTTACAGTAAAAATACTGACAGGTAATATTTTGATCATTGTTTACAGGACAAGAGCCTAATGATTTACCTGTTGGATGACTTTCACAATATCCAAACTGTAAGACTGCCGGGTGCTACCATGAAACTTTCCCTGGCTACACACATGGCATCAAATCTGTTGGACATTCACCAAAGTGTACCTGCTATTCTTCTTCCTTCCGACAAGTCAAAAATTCATAGAATTGTCACAGTCAACTGCAAAGGTCAAAACAAGCAATGTAGAGGAGGAATTGATACCAACTATCTTTCCCAACTTCTAAAAGACTGCAGTGGTCCATTCAAGTCAACATTTCTAGCAAGTTTAAGTGATCATTTCCGGTCATTGAAGCCGAGGGACATCCAGGCGCAGTTGAAAGAATTTAGGTATCGAGCATAGAAATATTTAGTAACACTACATGCACTTGCATCACTAGTATACTGAATGAAAAATCAATCTTGCCATAACAAGGGACACAAAAACAAGAAGAAAGTCTTGCTTTCAGTGAAAATATTTTCTTGCCTAAATATATTCGGGGTCTGAACAGTATGGATATAGTTTGTCTAATAACATTTCACCTGTTGTCATCAAAGAACCACATCTTCAAATCTTCCTTTATTGACAGAGTTTACTCGGGAAGATCAAATGATGACCTCAGCCATTTGACTTCATGTGTACTGATAGATGAGTTTGAGCAGTCTTTAAAAAGCAAGGAGGACTACATGAATGTTCTGTCACACTCCTTTGAAGTTGCTCCCCAACTTAAAGTTTACCTTCAAAAGTATGCTCTTCCAGCCCCAGGAGACTGGCCAACTTGGTTTTACTTCAAAAAACTGATTGCACAGGAAGTTAATGAAGATTCAGCTTTGGTTTCAATTGTTCCAGAACAAGGTCCCTTTCATGTAACTTTAAATGTTCAGGAGGATATCATGCAAATTTATCACTTTGTGCTGTCCCATGTCTATCGAGAAACATTTGGATCTGAGCTTCCACACAGAACTATACCATTTCAGATAAACTTACTATTGAATGCTATTTTCCTGGGATGGCTACAACTGAGAACCAAAGTCTGTCAGAAATTTCAAGTGTGCAAGGACACTGAGTTTGCATGCATATTGCACCTGTTGGATGAAGTTATTCCTCTATCTTTCTTTCACTATCCAGTTATGTTCCGGTCAGGGAACCTAAGCTCTTATGTTCCTGTCATGCTAAGATTTGCTTTGCTGTTTATCTGGAGACATCATCATTATGACAGATCAACCCTGTCTATGCTAAGTGATATTTACCATCAAAAATTCAATTTCACCAGCTACTATTCCTGCAAAGAACACTGGATGTCTCTTATCACTGAAAAGAAAGTTGAAATATGGCATAGCGTACTAAGAGCAGCAATCCAAGCCCACAACTGTGCAGATGAAATACGTAACAAGGCAATAACTTTAGCCATGCCCAAGTCAAGCCAAGCCTTCATGGCCCAATTTGTGAAGCCCTATAGCAGGGGGATGTCAAAGAAAAGTCTTGAAGTAATGGTTGGAAAAACGGCAGAGAGTTTGCTTGAAATCATCAAGAGAGTAGGCCAGGATATTGGAAAGTCAAGCCTGGTAAAATATATATTGAAATACATTATAGAATGGTAATGATTGTTAATTAGTTATTAAGGCATACTCTATGATACAGGATTTTGTAACACAATGAAAAAAGTCAACAAATTAAGCCAGGTAATGTTGCAGCAACCGAATTTACTAAACCTGAATCTAAACAGGCAATAACAAATAACAATACAATACAATACTGGTTTATTCATGATGAAAAAAATTAAAATAAAGATACATAAATAAACAAGCTAAATAACTAGCTAAATAACTACCATACGAGAGGGATTCAAAGCTTAGCAAGACAGAGCAAGCCAGTATACAGTTCATCAGTACCACTTTAACATGGTATATATCCAGTGTACATGTACATGCAAGTCTGTATTAAATATACATGTAGTACTCTAATTTTTTTATAACAAAATTCTCATGCAATTTTGTTTTATGTGCAAAT